AAAACAATTTTATTTTATTGTTAGATAATTAGTGATTAACGGCTAGGATTCCATTCCTCTGTCATTTGATTAATATCAGACTTTTTTTCTTTTGCATTAATTCAATGTAATTGATAAAATACCCATAATTTATTGATTTAACTAGCCGTCCATTTTAAATAAAATAATATTTCAGTATTAAATAAAAAATAAAAGAAAATAAGAAATATTTCATTGTCCTGTATGCTAAATACATTGTTAATATCAAGATGATTTGGTTAAAAATCCTATTTAGGAAATGATATACCAGGTTTCAAGTACGTGTGTAACCTTTTACGAGTCAATCATTGCAGTGTATAGAAAAAATGACAACTTCTCAGGTAATACAATAACTTCCTTGATTCTCTCTTCACAATAATGAAATAATTCTTTGATTAAAAGAAAAGGCAAACATTTAGATTGGGGCATGTAATAATAAAGAAGAATCGTTTATTAGTAGTCATTATAAATCCTTATATCAAATGATGTAGGAAAAGATGGACAAGAAAAAGATCAAAAGGCTTGGTTTTGTTATGGTCTTTCATTCCATCATAATTGATTTATTTTGAATTGCAGTACCTGATACAATTTATCATCTAGAGAAAAGTTATCTGGACATCTGAGGTTGCATGAATGGATAGAACAGTCAGGACTTGAAAGTGAAAAAATTCTACATGTTAAAGGTTATTTAATTAAAATATTTAATTTTTTATATGCATCATTCATTATAATTAGGTCTGATGAATGGATTTCACCACTAATGGTTCAATATATAATTATATAATAACTATTTCCAAATATTAAAAAATTTAGTAATACTGTCAGTCAAACTGGAGACTTTATGGCAAATGAAATTTCAGGTTTAATTGAAAAAAATTGGGTCACATAAATTTGTTGCAGTAGTAACAGTTTCTGGCCAAATCTAAGAATATCAAAGAAAATCATATTCACATATTTTGAATTTTAGATATGTTGTTCACACAGTAAATTTAATAGCTTCAAATTTTTGTGAATTAAACCAATTATTTCAAATTGCACTACAATTTAAAATTTTTCAATCAATTTTATTAGTAGTAAAAAATTAAAGCTAATCTTACACACATATACATGTCTAACAAATAATAAATTAAACTTGTTTTTTTTTGTTGCTTTCTTTATAAAATAATAATAACAATAAAGTATTGAAGATATCAAAATCATTTTA